TGGAATTGCATTGTAAGGTCGTCCACGCTGAAGTAGTGTCCATCCTCGCCTGAATCGAAGAGCACATGAGCCTGCATGTTCATGCCAGAAGTACTTGCCTGCTCCCCGCCCTCCCGCCTCTCCGTGTCAAAGCGATGTACGTGGTGTAGTCTGCAACCGGCCCAGGCCACTGCGATGTCCTTCGAGACACCGTTCTTGATGTAACCTCGAAGCTGGAAAGAAAGGGTAACGTTAAATATGCCTACTTTTAAAAAATAAGTATGTAGATATGAGTATTATTTTTGGATCGGTCGACCCATGGGCGACCTGTCCACAGTTGACTTTGGCTGCCCAAGCTTCGGGTCTAATGGAGGACTCGACTAGCCTGGCTCGTAATGCGAGTTATATAAGGAGATGAATAACTCTCTAGGCTCTCATATCTGTCCTCCATAATCACCCAAAACAACAAAGGGAAAACAGAAATCTGACTGTGTAAAGTGTTTTCTTTTCTCCGTTTTATCGTATAGCAGCTAGTACTTTATGCCTGCGATTGCCGCGGAGGGTTCTATATTCAACCACAAGGCAAAAAGAGAAGACTATGCCCCCGACCATAACGATAAATGTTTTCCATTAAAATGAATGCTGCCGATCGTAATCAAGGGAAGAACCGACCCGTAGCTCAGTCGTAGGACGTTGGACTTAAAACGATCAATGAGCAAAGTATCTGTGATTGAATCCCAAGTTGTCCAAGCCTGGGATTCCGCAGGGATGGTTAATGGTGATCACCCGAGATTATAAACTGCGACCTTTTGGTTATTGAGTGTAACACTCTACCATTGAGCTACAGACCCGTTAATTTTGTCGATCGCGATCGAAAATATGATGATAATGTAAACCGGCGTTAGTCGTAGAGAGACGATACCAGCTATACCAAATAGCCATGTACACTCTGAAAAAAGGACACATATTTGTAGGAGAGAAAACCTGAATCATTCGTGCCTGCCTAACAAGGATGGGCTGCGAGATACAAGAATTCATGCACTCAAACGAGGTGTGCGTCAATAGGCATATTGATTTACATGTCAACGACACATTTCGCAAGGTCAAGTGGGAAGCAGCATAGCCGCTATCGACCGAATAACTGAATGTGCCAATAGCTTATCGGCAGGAAAATTAACCAATCACTTGGTAGGCACAGCTTAAAATAGGCTGCGTTTGTACACTTAACATTCGTCTGATGATGAACTAATGTACCAAAAACAGTTACGCAATAAAGTTTGTTTCGTCTGCCAAAGAAGTTGATGTATTTTATCCAATTTATTACGATTCCCGCTGCTCGATGTGCATTGCAGATCAGAAAACCTTTGAGGTTAGATTTATGCACAACTATTTCGAGCTTGTTTGTCTTCATACAGCCAATCATATATCCGACAAAGGGATCGGACTTCAACCGAGAATATGGTAAACTAATTGGATTTAATTTGTACCCGATGCCATATAATACTTCAATATAATTAAGGAAAACATGTATGTGCTGTACGTTAAGGATGCTGGCATTCAAATAATATAAAAGTTTGCAATGAGGTACAGAGGAAATATCTGGTCTGTTAACTAACTGCGAGAGCAAAAATACATATATGCAAACAAAAACATAAATAGAGAAACAGTATCATTATTTAAAGGTAGACAGTTATATCAATGACTTTAAACTTAAAAATATGCACATTTTCAGGTTTTTTAAGGATAAATTAGAACAGAATAGCCAGAATAGTATATTTATATGTAATATGTTGTGCTGAGAAGTGGAGGTACGGTGATATACAATTGTTTCCGGGTCTATTTTGCCTCCAATGAGGCAGTTAAAACCCTGACCACCACCGCCACCACCACTATCGGGCATCAAAAGCACGATGGCCCACAGTCAGGATCCACCAGATGGGTTCTAGGCAACTGATCGGACTGATAAGTACTATCGCTGATCTCTTTAAAATGATTTTGTCCAATTTCGTGTTGGGTAGGTTACCTTTTGAGACCCATCTATTTTAATAAAATGGCATGTGCTTGGAGAAGAAGGCGTCGTAGGAAGGAATGATTCGGATCCAATGCTTCCCTCACATGGGCCATCTGCTACTGTAAAATCACTTTTGGAAAAAACGCAATATACCACCCAACTCAGGAAACAAGGGACATGTCTGACTGTACTACTGGACCAAGCGGCGAAATGCTTTGAGATGTCATTAAATAGTTGTACTTAAAAAATATAAGTAGACATTTATACGTATTATTTTGTAACTTGGGCATCGTGGTGACTCATGCGAATGAGCAATTTCTCCGGAGTCGACTCTGGTAGACTAGGCTTCGAGTCTAATGGTGAACGCGACTAAACTGCGTTGAAATATGAGTTAAACAGGGGGTTTAATAACTATCCAGACTCACCCCATTGCAGACAACGTTGGCGTCCTTTCCACCTTGATAATTACCCTGGGTCTGCGTTTCGTCAAACCAAGTAACCACGTGGCTCTCGCTATGAAGATGTAAGTCCAGTTGGAAGATCATAGCAACTACACAGAGGTGGAGGGAAGAAATTAATATTTTAAACACTTGCCAATTCATAGGGCGCCAAAACGCTGACTTCTGGTAGGACTGACGGTTAATCGATCAACGCGCAATAATTTACATTGTCCGTAGGCCATAGAAGCTGTAAGCTATGTCTCCGTTTACATACTTGTTTGTGAGTGCATTAAAATAGGGCAGAAAATCGATTCTAGAACGTGTCTTTTTTTGTAGATTGGCATGTGTCTGCGTTTCATCGATCTGGCTTGGCTATAAGGCAGAGCAGAGGTCTTCAATTTTTCCGCGCGGGTCTTAACACCGACAAAAAATCGATGAACACGTGGGTTTACCAAGTTAGACTATAGACTTTGGACTACTTTCGGCATCCAAAGATCGACAAGTACACTTCCAAGGTCATGAACACTGCTATGGTAGAATTGGGTACAGCCCTACGCACGCCTACAAAGTTTATTAAAACACGAAGGAATTTAATACGTTACACTTATTTACAGTTCAACTAAGACTGGCGTTATAACGCACTGAAAATATTTGGATGAATTTTTCTCGGTTGTGACAAACCTGGCGGCCACAGTGGGATTCGAACCCGCGACAGCGAGCGTTAGCCTTGCGTACAGCCAAAGTTCCAAAAAAAACTAGCCTACGAGGCCCCAAACGGAAACCGTGAGTTCGCTTACATTTGGATTAATCTACTGCAACGGATGGGTTCAACTATTCATGGTATAGGAAGCTGACTGGCCAAGCAGGATTTATTAAGCCAACAAGCATTGCTCGTGTCCTTGTGGATAGTGCTTTCATATAAATGGGCCACTTTCTGTATGCAATTTCCCGAGGTGTTTGTCAAACCGTCACAGTTGGGCAAAATATACCCAGAAAACATGATATCAGTATATAAAGCATTTTTGAGTAACGCTCAAGCTCAAGCTTAACGGATCCAACCGAATCTTGAAGGTATCCAACGATGTGCTACGAGGGTTGGCCCTAAAATTAAACACTTGACCTACAAGCAGCTCCTGACTGCCTTGAATCTCTATCAGCTCTCCTATAGACAGAGGTGACCTTAGAACAACCTTTAAGTTACAAAGAAGAACTGAGCTGGATATCAACGTCTGTTATATATTACCCAAGGTGAGCCTGTTCAAGTTACGACCGGATAATCACCTGGTAAAGATCAAAGCAAACTTTCAAACCCTTCTCTTGCCTACAAACATACTCGTCTTTTGATTTCAGTAGACCGTTAATTTAGCATGTAATAGTGGAATAGCAGTGAAAGTGTTGTGAACGCTGCAAACGCCTCACCCATTAACCTCTTACCATTTTATGCCTTTTGTGCATACTCATATGATATGTAACAATTTGTGCATCTAAACTACTATTTTATGCATTCCTGTACCGTTTCAATGGAGTTTTTAAGGGCTTTTGTCGTTTACTTCAAATATACTGAATGTACGTCGGTTGCATCGAAGTCCCACGTAGTTTTCTGGACAGAGACACTACGCTCTGTTTTTGAGGATGGGGCAACCGGCGCCGTTTTCCCAGCTGTGAAAAACCTGACGGCTAGAGTGGGATTCGAAGCCCCGAGGGCAAGGGCTAGCCTTACGTACAAGCTAAGCTCTAAACAACTAATCTACGAGGCCCCAATCGGAAAACGTGAGTTCAATCACCTTTGGTTTAATCTTCTGCAACCTATGGACTCAGCCATATATGGTATAGGAAGCTTACTGGCCAAGCAGGATGTCACAAGTAGGTGTCTAGATCGCTGACTGCAAACAAGCATTTCTCTCGGCCTCGTGAGTAGTGGCTACTTCCTGTGGAGATTTCCCACGGTGTGTAAATCTGCTCCCGTGGAGCAGGATACACTAGCCGAACAACGAGGCGCCTGAAAAAGAAGGTAATTTAACACATACCGGTCTGGCTAAGTAAAGGTGGAACTTATTAATCTCGCGTTCTATTCTCGCACACCGTGGCGATAAGAATCATCGAGTCGAGCCTAACGAAGCCTTTCAGGTTTTCTACCGGAGACCAGCCAACGGCTCAAAGGACCTACGCTAACGGATGCTAACAACAGCGGTAGCGGTGGCTATACGGCTAGCGAAGCCAGATCTGTATTGTCAGAAGACTCTTATACAGGTAATATCACTTCCATGGCCGACGCCGACGTCAGCTGGCGATCACATACCGCT